CCATTTAAAAGTACCATTTTTCATTTACTCATGTTGTCTTTATCTTAAAATTAGTTGGCTGATTTATATAGAAAAAAATAGCAAGACTGGAGAAATAGGGCAGGGGGCAAATACCTTTTCACAATTTGATTTAAATCAGAAACTAGGTCAAAGAATAAGTCATCACGAGTATGTGCTACACAAACATTTCAGTTGATGACGAACCACTGAGCTGGCTACTGATTGCGAACACAAAGTAAAGTGAACAACAACAGGGACTACACTCATGAGCCCAGGGCTAACAACTAGATCACACAGACACTGGAACCTCCCCTAACACTTGTGACCTCAGCATCCTATGTGACCGTTCTATGTCTACATGTACGTTACTTCATGATTTGGAGTTTTCCTGATTTCCAGTAACAGACTACCACTCTCAGATGTCTGTCATACTGTCAGACCTGACAATTTGCCCACGGTGATTCAAATAAATCACAAAGTGATGTGCATTGTGCTGAGCCCACAAATGAGGGTGGCCCAAACCGAGCAACTTTATAGGAGCAAAAGTAGCTGTGGCTTTTAAACGCATCTCTACAGCCATTACAAAATCTACATCTAAACACAGTCAATAGAGGTAATGGCAGTTGCTAATGCCATGTCAAAGCAGTGCATCAGTGTTGACTGTAGTTTACTGTTTGGATTTTGATAGCAAACATGTCCAGGGAACCCTTTCCACGTTATAAATCAGTATCTGCTTGTTTCGACACAACATTGATGGCGTATACTTTTGTTTTTACACACTCTGAGTAACAACATTCAGAACCAAAAACTCCACATGTCTTGTGCAACATTCCAGCATCTTTACAAATGTCGGAATCATTAACAGAATCTTGAAGTTTCTAAGTGAAAGCTGAAGTTAGTGATTGTAATTCTAACCTGTGGAAAACAACGCAAAAATATATCTGTGAAGTGCATCTGTTCAAACACAGCTGCTATTTATTTATGTTTTTCTAAAAGCCCCTCATGCATTTCCCACATTGATTGTAAATGTCAGCAAACAGCTGATATGTTTAAGTATTTCCTGAAACATAAGGCACATCTGCTTGAAATGTATGGTTTGAGTGTGACTGTGTCCAGAGTGATGACTGAGCAGTGACTGACTTCGTGTTGAAAGAAGCTAAGGTGAAATATGAATTTGTGTCTAAGGCACTGATGACTGAGGGCTCATCAGAGCTGAACTTCATGTCCTTTTGACTATTCCTGAACAATTTAACAGTGGATGTCATGTTGGATGGAGCTTTGATACATACAGCTTCAACTTTAACTCTAACTTCTACTGTAATTCGGTCAGTTAACAAATGCTTCAGACAATGCTAAAAAACACTCCTCCTCCTGGTCGGTGGTGGAAGCCCTGACTGACTGCAGATAATAGCTAACATTTAAATATGAATAACAGATGATGAACACACCAAAATATAATGTCCCTTAAAAAGATTGATTCAATCAAATTTTTGAAATTTTGAAATTAAAGATGCAATTCATATAAATCATAAAAAAGATCTTCCCTCAAGTGGTCTCTATCCATGTAAATAGTTTTGGGTTGGTTGTCCCAGGTTTTGATACCATACAACGAAAGTAAAAAAAAATTGTGCTTGAGCTTAAAGCATTGAACATTTTCCACATCTTCATATTGACCCCTTTTCCCGAGGACTGTCCACATATCTGTTTTAATGATGTTGTGTTTTATCTGATTTTCAATACACTTTTCTTTCCAATCACCAGAGAAGCAAATTAATATTATACAGATCTTGGATCATGGACACAGTTAAGTAAAATGCAAAATGTAGACAAACTCCTGTATC